ACGTGTTCGATTGGAAGCGGTCCTCTCTTGAACCTCCACACCGCCGCTGCCGCGTCGGCAATCGCTGGACACGACCGTCCTCCCTCTTCTACCTTCTGCTCCCCCATCCTTCCTACTCGAGGCACGGCCGGAACATCGGCCAGAGAACTGACCTCTCCTATCAAAGCGCGGCGGGGGCGGGGGCGGGGAAGGGAAGGGCTGAGCAGCGTTGCTGCTCTGGCGAGAGGGGAAGGGGCGAGATCGAAGCCCTGAACCTGGCTGGTGCCGGTCAGCGTCGAGGGGCTCGAGCGCATAAACTTAGGTTTTGGGAGACCTTCTCTGACGTGCACATGTTTGGTCACATACTCCAATGGCAGTGAATTAAGTGAAACCGTGTTAATACGGCCAACTTTATTAAGATGTGGCTTCCACTTATAGTCACTTTTGGGAAAAGTTTGGATTTGTCCAAAGAACACATGTAAATATTCTCATCTTCATCAGCAGCCACCTGAAAAAAAGCCCAATTCGCAGAGTGACCTTTATTAAGCAATCGGTACTTGGGACTGTATTATAAAAGGATTATGTACTAAGCGTATAGTCATGGTCCTTTGACGACTGTAATTGACGCTGCGACCCTTTCACAAGTGTAATCCTAATGAAAAATTATCGATTTTGTATTAATCTCATCTCATTACTGAATAGACGAAATGTTATAATGACGTTGCTATGACAACTATTTATTCAATATGTACATGCTTTTTCACTTTACAGTACTCCAATAATATATAAGTTGAAAAACCCATCGAATTTCAATTTGACGCAGTAGTCTTCATGAGTACCGCTTAAAGTTCCGAGTTTCTCATTTCGCTCCTAAACCGCTGGTGATTTTATAGGTAAACTCTCAAGATTATGATATAATCGGAATTCAAAATTGTGAGCGAGCAAAGTCGCATCGAGTATATTGAAACTCACAAGGAAACTTAAACGTCAGTATAAAGTAAACGCAAAATATTGGTGCCATGTTTTTTTTATTAATTGATTAGTTCGTGTTTCCGGGTGCATCAAGTGCTATGGTCATTAATGCCGCTATTGTCGTTATTCACGTTTTTATCACGAGAGGTGGTGGGACGAGCTCTATGATTTCGTCTGGTCTCCCGACATATATGGACTAAATGTAGGTGCGTTTAAGCGAGAAATTAGGATACGGAAGGAATAGAAAGAAAATATCCGGAAGGAAGAGAAATAAATTATCCGTTACGGGTCCGTGGCCCGTTTGTTACGATATAGTACTGATCAGAGAATCCACGTAAAACTACCGTTAGGAGCAGCCGGCCGCTAGATTTTTTTGTCTTGACAGCGGCTGCATTGGACCTAGCTATTTAGCCAGTATCAAAAACCGTGTCACAACAGAGCGGTTGGGACTGGAACTTTAGACCCTTCCGGTTATTGGTTCTGCAGCGACATTAGTTGATGCCCTGAGCTACATCAACCCGTCATGTTATTCGATGGAATCATTTGCATCGGTGAACGTGACCATAGACGTGTGCATGTATTCAGGACGTAGCTAAGTCTTCAACCCTCAAGCTTTCACGTTCTTGTCGATGTGATTTGAAGACAACATATTACGGTGTAGCGCAGCAAGATCTAAAGAACTAGCGTCTTAGTTAAACAGGAACGAATGCATTTTGTCCAGATGAGTATAAACTGCCATTCGACGTATTACTCTTGAAATTCTCCATTCGAACAAAATAATTATTCAATCACGATCCCCTCCATTTTACCTCGTGTCGTTCGATTGTATTTAGGACTTCTTATTTATTAGTATTTATTATATAAACATCGATGAAAGGCTATATACATTCTACTACTATTCATTGGGAATGATACGTCCATCTTTCTGTTATGTATATGTTTGTAGGTATGTATATGTAAAAGTATATGTTTGCATATGTCAGCTTAATGTTTTCATTGTCAATAGCCCTTTGTTATGTTAAAACGACAAAGCCTTTTTGCCTATTACTCTCATGGTAAGCGGCGAGAGTCGAAGCTCTGACCCAGGCTGTGTAGTGCGAGCCAGCGGCCAATTCAATCGCTGGGGGCCGAAATCAAAGACTCAAATCTTCGTTTTGCGTTAAGCGCAGCCTTCATTCGGGAGGTCGCGCACATCGGTTCTCAGATTGAACGTAATGGGGTGTACTGGCACAAGCAGTTTATTAGCATAACCGGTCAATGGAATAGAGACAAGAGGGTTCAGTTCACTGTGAACAAACAGATATGAACTTTTAGCAGGTCTGTGGGGTATCAGACTAAAATTATCGTGAAAAGCACAACAGAAACTTGCGAGTTTACTAATTAGAGAAACTTTCGAGTTTTCGAATGTTGACCACCTTGATCGTTGGCAGCTTTATTCATAATGAAACTGGGCGCAGTAAAGAGAAGAGGATATTTTGGAGGTCAAGAAAAATATATCAGATTCTACATCACTTGTAATTCTGACTACTTTTGCGATAAATAAATAGATAAACCATTATAAATAGTGCTTTCAGTCATTAATGTGGAGTTTGTTCTTCTGTATAGATTTGAAAAGAATAGTTATTATGTTAGTTTCTCACTCAAAAACTTACGTAATGTATGCTCTTTTATTACGATACTTTATTTCGGAGTACCAAAAGACCCCGAGAGATTTTGAAAGTAAATGTATGTCGTGAAGGCACGCATATGCATACCGAACACGAAATGTTAAATGATGGGAGCGTCATTTAGATGTCTCTTCCTGCAACTTTGTATTAAACAACTTTTTCTTCGCTTTTAATTCGATTTTTAAAACTTAAATGCAGAGCGCTTTAGGAAAAAAATTCTACTTTTGCAGTCCCGATTACCAACACCATTTTTCTCTAATACAATAAGCTATTTCAATGACAACACAATTTAAGGTTTTAACATTCTTCTCTGTTGATTCTTTTAAACCAGCTGACTTGAACTTGAAATGAGTCACGATTCTTTGTTCTATAAGCTTTGTTCGTATCCTTCTACACCAACCAGATGGTGTTTGGATTTAGCGTATGCCGTACTGCGCCAGCTCGTGACTGTGCTTCGATAAGGGCTCTTAAGGGAAGGGAGCCGCCTTGCCCCCTATTTTATTGTTTAGAAGGGAGCTTCGCTTTCGTTCCCCTTGTCCCTTTTCCCTGTTCCACACGCTTTATTACACTTCCTTGTTTTATGTCCGTTGAACATCTGCAATACGAGAAGTATTTTACTTATGATCCAGAGACAAATTAAATTGAGCATTTGAATTAGAACTGTATACCTAATAAATTCGTAAACCTTTTGTAACTCTGAATTAATTTGTTGAACCCTAAATCAAATGAATAGTTTTTGGAAATACGTGTTAAACATCCAGAATAGAAATCCTTAATAATTTTTGAAAATGCAGTTTCTATGTCATTGACCTTTTGTAACAATCGTGCAGTTTGATTTTTGTTACGATACTCTTCTTGTAATGAATGTACGATTAATTAACTATTAATGAGCGGAACATATTGTGATTTTTATTTCACTGTAAATGTTGAATAATTATGTGAATCTATACATCTGCATTGCAAGTAGTAATTGAAGAGGTGCGATGACGCATGATTTTCAGGTTGACTGTTTGCTTATAATTTGTGAATATAAGTGAAGGGGACCGGAGGATTTAATTTCCCTACAACTTATTTTGATTAAACCATTACCTTTAAATATGTGTGGCACGGAACGCATATGTTGCACGAAATGAGTTTGGCAAATGTCTTTAAGAATTGTTAATATTTCATCTGGCTCGCGAAGAATTACGAGCTATTTCTTATGCGCATTATATCATCCGGTTTGGTTTTTCTAGTTGGCCTACAATATTTTTATTAAGTACTTCAATCTTCTACCAGTGTGTTTAGCTAATTCTTACCCAAGACTCGTGAAGTTGTAAGATAAGCTAATCAGCCATTTTTAGAAGAGCAACCATTTTTGTTATATAAACGTCATTTGAACCAATTTGTTTACGAAGTCATTTTCTTAGTTATATGTATCCGAAATGTGAATCCTATTCTCCAACAATCGTTCTAAATTGAATATTTCTCTTACTGGAAACATTCTGAGGTGAAGCTCTTTGGAAATAAGCTTTTAATGCCCAGAGCTTGCCAAGTTGCTGAGCTAGTAACTTCTGCACCAAGAAAATTTTTGGGCATTTTTTCTTCTTTCGCCTATAGAGAGTGCAAGAGCTTATGTAATGCTGCAGAAAAACGGGATTTTACGAAACATTGGGGGCTCCGTATCAGAAGTTGAATAAGTTTGCTCTTG